CACCCAGAAAAAATTAAAATATATAGGTGGAGTTTTTAAGAAAAAAAAAATTGAGAATTTGAGATATATTTTAGATTATGAATAAATGTAGGATGGAAAATATACTTGATTAAAATTGATTTAATTTAATAATATAATAAAATCTTTGTTAATAAAAATAATATAAATAATTGTAAATAATCTCCCAAAATTTATAGTGTTTGGTTTGAGGAATTTGGAGGGAGGAGAGGGGAAGGGATGGAAAATTTTATTTTTCTCTTGTTTGGTTGAAAAATTAGGAGGGGAGGGAGAGAAAAATTTTAAGTAAATTTCCCTCCCTCACTCACTTTCTCTCCCCTCCAAAATTGAAGGGATTTGAAGGGGAATATTTTAAGATGAGATGACAATACCATTTAGTCTTTACTTTTAATTATTTTTTATTATTTTCTTATTTCATTAAGAATATATTTATCATTTTAACATTATTTTCCCTCTCATTTCATTTTCTTACCAAACTAAAATTTACTATTTTCCTTTCCTTTCCTTCCAACAAAATCCTTCCAAACAATATAAAGTTGTTTTACCTCACTTTCCCTCTCCCCTTTCTCTTTCCTTCCATTAAAATCCCTTTCCTCCTTTCCCCGAACCAACCACACCCTAAAAGAAGGAAGAATAAATAGAAAGTGAGTGGAAAGCAAACACCCACATGCACAATCGAGCCAATATTCAATTGCTATTGTTCTCAATCCTACCGATTTGTGAAAAAACCTAGTTCTTGATTCAATGGCCGCCGCTTCAGAAATTCACGGCCCGGTAAAATCAAACCCCGCGGAGGACTGGACCGTCGTACTACCACGCCGTGGGAAGAAGAAGAACACCACAACCACATTCTCGCACAAATTCGTGACCCCTAAACGCGAAAAAGAGACGCAGGCATGGACGCCGGCGGATATCGAGACAGATCCTGATAGGGAATCGAGACTGATGCAGAAAATGCAAATCTGCATCCAGAAGCTCGTTGGCTCCGATTTCTGCAACTCTTTCCTGAACCAGATGCGGAGCCCCGAGACGCTGGTCAAGTTCCTCCGGGTCCTCGGTTCGGAACCGCAGATGGAGATGGTGATCTACGGAATTGGCAGCATCGATTCGTTCGAGCCGCCGAGGCTGCAGCTCGCGCTCGCCATCCTGATGAAGAGGAGCTTCGACTGGGTCGGGGGTATCCAGGTGTTCGACCCGATAATCTCATTGACCGAGTCTAGGGTTTTGACTTCCCTTGGCTGCGAGGTTCTGTCGGTCAACGAACAAGGCCGGCGGCCGGTGGTCCGGCCGACCCTATTCTTCATGCCCCATTGCGAGGTGGAGTTGTATGATAATCTCTTGCAAGCTAATTGGGGGTTGGACCCGTTGAGCCGGATGGTGTTGTTTGGAAACAGTTTCAGTGAGTACGAGCAGCAGGTGTCAATTTCGGGCTGTGCTTTGGTGTCGAGGCAGCATGTGTTGGCAGCAAAGAGTTTCACAGACGAGATTGGAGTTGGTAACCTTTCTGACTATGTTTTCCGAGCCTTTCATGGCTCCAGTTGGCACTTTTTCAGGCCCGGTAGTCTTGATTGTTTGCGTCTTGATAATTTATGATTTGATCTGCTATTGCTATGCAAATTATCTGTTTGCTAGCACTTTTAGGAATGATAATTGTTATATTGTACTAAAGAATCTCAATTGGCATGGTTTTATTGTTTTGCCTTTGTTTTCGGAGTCATTGGCGGAATTCAGGCAGTCAGATTTTGAATTATTTGTTTATATGGTTGGCTGATGAAAGGTACCTACCTTTTTATGCATTGATCCGAATCTTGAGCAACTTGTGTTGAATTAAGAAATAGTTTTGTTTTCGCATTATGCTGAATAGGGATTGGTGGAGATTTCATATGATTCAGTTCTAGTGTGTGGCGGAAGTTATCTTTTTATTAAATATCGTAAATTTGTGAGTCGTGCCTGTCTAAAGCACTAAAACGTCGAAGCAACACGGATGAGCTTGTTGTTGGCTTAAGTTTTGTTGTATTCATTTTGCCTCGCTATGTCACTGTTGGCTGGTAGATGAATCTACAAAAAGCTACAAGATCAGAAGCCTGAACTTCAATGCAAGGTAAGCCTGCGCTCGGTTTTTTTTCTGGCTGATTGCAAGGTAAGCCTGAGCTTGGTTGTGGTCTGAAATGCTTTCTGAGTTCAGTGATTGCAACGATATTTTCCTATATATTTTTGTTTTTTGTCTTCTAATATACTCAATCTTCATTGTGTATAGTTTTACTGTAGTGCATGGCAGAAGAGAGCAACAAACTCTTGATGCCCTATCGCAAAGCTCCCGGATCATCTTCTGGTAGAAATCTTTGTTCGTGTTCCGGTTTCCGAGTGGGCCCAACTGTCGTGTGTGATCAAAAGTACTGGACTAATTTGTTCTGCGAAGACTACTTGTGGCACGTGGCTCTCGTTAGATGTTTTCCTTTGCCTGGCCAAAGTAAAAGGTGGGCTGAGCAAAAGGTAGCTCATCAGTTCCCTAAGATGGAGCAGTTTTTATGTAGCCATTATCATTAGGCCTAGCTTATATATCTCTTTACATTATGAGTACAGTATGAATATTGTATACTCAATTTGCTAGAAAAAAATATAAATAAATGCATATACTCTAATTTGTGTGCTTGCGATTCAGGAGGTTCATTGCTCTGTATATGAGTAAATGGATCTGCCCTGTAGATGACGAGCCGAGTGAAATTGTCGAGCCGAGTGAAATTGTCGGACATACGTACTTGTATTTGAAAGAGCAGCTTCATTCAAGCAACTTTGTCTTCAAAATAATCTATATTCAATCACACCCCTGATTTGAAAGCTGCTTGATAGTGATTAATATACATTGAGTTTCTAGGTTACATTTGAAACTCCTATTTTTATTATCACAATTTGATTTGAAAATTTAAAATTCATAGATCAAAACATCATTAGATCAAACCATCCCATTGTTTTATCCTCTCTCATTCTAATTCACAGACCCTTTATTTATTTAATTAAAGATTAACATGTGGTTGTTTCATAAATAATAAAAAATAAATAAAATAGATTTTCAAAATCTTGATTGGGTTGTCAAAAGTCAAAACCATGCTCTCACTCTCCTCCATATAGTTTCGTACGTTAGCCTGAGCCTTTTCCACATAGAAAACACAAATTATGACCAACTTTATCTCCTTTCATCTTACGGTGTTCATTTAATTACTTATTACACCCCCAAAGCCTAATTTTTTCCTGTGTGTTTTGAGAAGCAACCCCCACTTTACAGAAAAAACAATCAGCCCCAGTGATAAGCTAGAAATTTATGATTAAAATAAAAACCCAGAAATAAAAGCCCAAGTTCTTCAAATCATAGGTTAACAAATTAGCAAATGTCAGAGTGCTTTCACCCAGATTTACTCATAAAAATATTGAATTCTATATACATTCAGCATTTGTTGCTCAAGAGCTAAATATGGTCTGCATACACAATCACATGCACTCACAAAAAAAAATGACAAGCATGCACCCGCAGAGTTTGAATCCAAATCACCACCGGTCATTCATTCGATTGTCATGTTGCATTAATCTACACGATAACTATTTAGAATGCGATATGTTTTTCTAATTTCTTCTTCTTTTTTTTTATTTTATTTTTGGGTAGATCTATTTGAGAGAGATTGTAGTCCTAGTAGCCTAACCAAGTTGCTGGTATCGGCTGAAACTTCTGTTTTGCGGTTGCCAGTAAATCGTAGTAATCCGAATGATGCAGGCAATCACGAAAATCCGTGAACAGCCTTTCGAATATCTTCCACTCGACTTTGTACGATCTCAAGTATGGATAAGGCAAAAACTCCTGCAAAAAGAATACCACATTTGCAAGATTCGAACGACTTATAAATATTAAATACTGCAAGGCATTAGATAACACTAATATCAGATATCTCAAAAGTTCATGTTGGTGAACAACTATGAGTTATTGACGAACGAGAACTTATTTTGACCTGTCACAAATTGAACTGCATGGAGATGTCGAATAATAACAATGACATATAAATAAATAAATTGCTTACTTCTCCCTCCAGTGCAAGGCGTTTAAGTAATAAAAAGGTCTGGCGATTGTCCTCCAGATTGTCGATAACAGCCAGCCAAATGACCGAAGCCAGCTCGTGGGCCGTGTCCCTTGACTTGCCACAAGCAATAAACTGATCTGCTTAAATGAAATATGAAAGTGTTTAATGAGTCATTAGCATTGACTTCGAAGACAACATTTGACAATAATTTCAGGAGAGACCATACTAAATTTGATGCAATTTTCAACAAATATTGTACTTAGAGATAAGAGATCATCAACATATGACTTAAGTACTACATTTCTGATCATCTGCCTATGCTTTGTCAACATAGTTTTCTTTATTTTCAAGCCATATAATCATCTCCATTTCCATGTTAATTTAAAGATCGTAAGTCTACAAAATTCAAATATTTCACAGGACATGTCCTCAAACTAAGGCTGTAACATGATGAAAACACAAAACAAGTTAGCTAGGCACGGATGACCCAATCATGAAGGTATATGATGGAAGTATATACTGCAATCAGTATATTTTCTTTTTTCGGTACACTTCGTTAAGACTCATCTGCTCAGCAAAAAAATATGAACGTATCGCATCTAATTTTCAAGTTAGCTAATCTTTCGAGACATAGCTTAATAATATGTCAGCAATTCCACTTCAACAGGAAAATGAGATGTCATAAATGGTTTTGAGACAGCACCTATAATAGTCCCGTGAAGAATCGCAGAAGGAGGAGGCATATGTGAAATCTGAAGCTGCTCTTTCAAATACAAGTACGCATGACCGACAATTTCACTCAGCTCGTCATCCACCGGGCAGACCCATTTACTCATATACAGAGCAATGAATCTCCTGAATCGCAAGCACACAAATTAGAATATCTGCAGTTTTTTTTAGCAAATTAAGAAATATACAATATTCATTCACTACGCAAATAACATAAAGAGATATATAAGCTAGGCCTAACTACAATGGCTACGTAAAAACTGCTCCATCTTAGGAACTGATGACCTACCTTTTGCTCAGCCCACAAGGAATAGGGCCTGGCCACTTTTTACTTTGGCCAGAAAAAGGAAAACATCTGACGAGAGCCACGTGCCACAAGTAATCTTCCCGGAACAAATTAGCCCAGTACTTATTCACAGACGGCAATTGGGCCCACTGGGAAACTGGAACACGAACAAAGATTTCTACCAGAAGATGATCCGGGAGCTTTGCAAAAGGGCAATCAACGGCAAGCATCAAGAGTTTGCTGCTCTCTTCTGCCATGCACTACAAAATTGAGTATATTAGAAGACAAACAACAAAAATATATAGGAAAATGTTGCAATCACTGAACTCATAAAGCATTTAAAGCATTTCAGACCACAATGGTAATAGAATTCAAAATTCAAAATGATCTTCGTTTTTCTGGAGCAGATGAAAGCAGAAAATTTCAGGTAATTAGGAAAACTATTCAACGTTAATGGCACCAACTCACCATGCTCGTAAGTGTAAACGAGCTGAGATGAGTTCGAGCTCCTGATGCGCGATTTCGGGCTCAAGCCTTTATCGAGCCAAGCCCATTAACTAAACGAGTGGATAAACAAGCTCATCCCGGCTCGTTTATCAATACTAACGAGTTGAGCTCGAGCCTTAACAAGCCGAGCAACTGAAAATTACATAACAAATCATATTTCGAGCCGAAAACTAAACGAGCTCAAACGAGCCAAGACAAGCTCACGAGGTGCTCGGGTTTATCAATTATATGCTGATTACCACAAACCGTGGAGTCCAATATTGGTGGACATTATGTTTCTCACAATTGGGTAAATATGCTATAATTGCTCGCTGTAACTGAGAAACTTCAAAAATCGAAATATAAAAATTTAAAACATTCAATCCTGGATGAGATTCTGGCAGCAGGATTACAGATAAAACAACTATATCGCCCGATCGCCGCTGTTTGATCATAGATAATAACAAAAAGCGCAACCTAGTCAGTATATGTACTATGTAAACTCGCAAACACAAACACAAAAACATAAGTAGAATCATTAAAGAAGACATATATTGAAAGTAAATGATTAATGATTGATATATAGCGGGGAATAAGAAACTACAGATTTAGAGGCGAGTAGACTCTAATCTTCCTTGGCTGAAACTTGATACACAGAAAAAGAAGAAGAAAATTATATGCACGAACGAAGAAGAAGCTGCAAGAGGAAGTTTTATGCCAGCTGTGGGGATTGTTTGAGTGAGGCCACACACTTGTTGTGCGGTGGGCTTGAGAACGGCAGTCACACGCTAAGTCCTTTTTTTATTTTCTGAAAATAACAAAAATATTTATTCTCTGTTTCAAAAATAATTATGCCTTGTTTGTTTAATTGCGTTTTGAGAAGAAACTAGTTTTTGGGGAGTTTAGCTTTTTTATTTGGTCAAAACAGCTAAAATTAGTGTTTGGTTAAAATGTTTTTTGCTTTAGCTGATTGGATTGATAAGCTAAAATCAAAACGCTAAAAATAGGAGCGTTTTGCAACAACTTATGCATATTGGATAAATTTTTCATTTTTTTTTTTTTTTTTAATTACTTTTGTTCTAACTAATGAGAGTGGATGATGGTCTTTATTTTTAATATTTAAAAATCAACAAGACAATAGCATTCAGTAGCATTCAGGGTGGTGTGGATGTTCCATTTTTTAACCTCCATTTTTTTTAATATTAAAATATCACCAAAACAATTGCATTCAGTGTGGTGTGGATGATCTATTTTTTAACATCCATTATTTAACATAATACAACGCATTAGATTCTTTTAATTATTACTTTTAATATTAAAAATATTAAAAAATAATTTGAAAATACTTATTATATCAATAATAATTTTTGTTAAGATAAAATAATTAAATGAATATAACCAATGTTTATTTATATCAAAATAATTTTCAAGATATTAATAATACAAAATATATTTTTATGAATCAATAAGCTACTTTTACCAAATATATTTTTGAAAACCGCTATTACTATCCGCTGGTCAAAACAACTGACACAATCCGCTGGTCAAAACAGATATTACAATCAGCTAACAGCTAACAGCTATCCGTTGGTCAAAACAGCTATTTAAATAAATGAAATTTAAAAGTATGCATGTTTAATAAAACTATTGGATTGTGAAAATTGAAATTACTTTGCCAACCTAAATTGTGTAACAGCGATATAATGTGTATGCAGAATTGGTAACCAATAAAAAAAAGTTAGTGAGCTTTAATATTTTTTTACAATTTAAATTGATAAATTATTTCAAAATTTTAAAAATCCTAAAATGTATGGAAAGCTTTACACGGACTACTTTGAAAACACTACACATATCAAATTACCAAGCATAAACATTGGCAGTGTTATAATTTATTGATATTATTCTTTAAAGACATTGATAAATTATAAGTGCATAGTGTTATATTGACAAACAAGTCCGTTTAGAAATGGAGAATATATTTTAGACAAAATAAAAAGTGAGGAGGAATATTTATTTTGCCCAATTGGTTCATAATAGCTGTTGGTATTATGCTTCTTATCTCTTCATTTTCACTTTTAAATATCGGAAATAGTGATAAGAATATTATTATTATTACATGATTATCTGAGTGAATATTTATCAATATAGTAATATAATTCTCCACCATTACAATAAGTCTATAATAATGCTTTTTTTTATTATTATATACAAATATAAATGTGAGAGACAATAATAAACATTTCATAATTCAATCACTAGTGATGTAAATATTACACTAATTATTGTGAGATATAAAATATTCATATTTATGTTATGAAATATTATACTTATGTTGTTTTTTAAGATATAATATTTTAATTTAAAAATACATATATTTGTGCTATGAAATATTATATTGATTTTGTTTTTTAAGATATAATATTTTAAATTAAAAATACATATATTCATTTAACAAATGCATATTTATGCTATGAAATTTTCGTACTTTTATTTAAGTTGTTTTTTAAAGTATAATTTTTTGTATGTTTTCGTTATTATTTTGGGGGTGTTTATTTATTCTTTCGAACTTTTCTAAGCTCCATTTACAGATTTTTTTGGTCCTTGATTTTTCTTGTTTTGTTGTTTTTGTGTTATTTATGTATTTTGTGTATTTTTCGTCTACTTTTATTTATTTGTTTATTTTGTAGAAATATATCATTCAGATAATTTTGTACAACAAGACTCGACATCGCTCGAGAGACGCCCGAGCGCACCCCATCATTGCCCGAGCGCTCCAGAACATCACTCGAGCAGCACCTGAGAGCCCTGGGTGCCATACCTTCGTGTGCGATGAGGATCTTCGCAGGGTGTAGAGATGAAATGCTCGCTACCCTTCAGGTCCGCGAACACCCGTCTGCGGACACTTGCTCACGATCCTGCTTCACGGCCCGCGTAACCTTTCGTGTCCAACGGCATGCAATTGTTATTTTGATGTATTGCGACGGAATTTTTTGACAGTTTTTGAAACCGTATAAATACGAACTTGCGTATGACCATGGAATGATCCTTGAACACACTTAGAATAGCCCATAGAATGATCTGAAGGCTCTAAAACACCATATTTGCTTGTAAATAGTTTTTTTTTTCTTTTTTTTTTTTTGTAGTTTATACAATTTCCACTTTTGCATATGATTGAATTTTCGGAGTACTCCACACTGGGATTAAATTCTTGAATTTCTTAGTTGATTGTAATTTTTTTTATTTTCTATCTATTATTGTTGATTGAATGAGAATTCGTTTCATTCGATTAACATGCATTTGAATCCAAACATGAGTTAATCCATCCACATAGGGTTAGGATTTTTCACTTCTCGTCTCAAATATGTGTGTTTAAATACCATGACTAGTTATTTGTTCAACATCTATCAGATTGATAAACTAAAAACCAGAAGGGCATAGGATATCCGATCATAGTTTCAAGGGGTAGGCATTTCGTAATTGTATTGTCTATAAGTCCATTGGCTGAAATATGTATTTGTTTATGTCTGAGCGCGTGTTTGTAAAAGTATTGGGTGGAGATCTTTAGGCTTATATGTATGTTTTTTACTTGCTAGTTTATGTTCAATCCGTTATTACAAAAGTTATTGGGGCGAACAACCAAACGTTTAAGTAAGAGTCTCAATCTTTAGACGGAACAATCATACGCTCGACCTAATTTAAGACTTAATGAGATTTTTTCCTACGCTCTAGATTTTCTTCAATTTATCTAGTTATTTTATTATAATTTAATTGTCTTTCTAATTATCGGTAATTGTTAGATAATTCTCTCAACTATCCGTAATTAAAATGTTTTGGAGTTTATTTTCTTTATGAACTTTATTCTATTTTTATCCGATTATTTATTCCACCATCCATATTTAAAACTTTATTTTCATTTCATACATTATTCGATTATAGATTCTAACCATCAATATTTAGAACTTTATTTTCTTTTTATTTTAGGACTTTATTTTCTTTTTATGTATTATTACACCGATATTAAATTTAAATCATTCGTGATTAAAAATGTTTAAAACTTTATTTTCTTTTTAAGCGTGTTATAGTTTTAGAATATTATTTTATTTTCATGTGTGACACTGATTCTAAATTTCAAACCATTTTTTTTTTTCAAAAGATTGCCTCCAACTCGGTAATTGGTAAAATATAAATTGTTACAATAACATATGACATTTCAATAGACATGGCCACAGGTTGGCCCGACCCGCGAACCGACCAGAAACCGGTCCCGGACCGGCCCGCCCTAGCCGGTTTTTGAACCGGCCCATAATCCCCTAAGGGCCGGTTAAGGGTCATATGGTACCCATTTTGACCTGCCGGGTTGGGTCCGGTTCTAGGCTGGGTCCGGATTTTCCGACGGGCCATAGTACAATTTTTTTTTTTATTTTTTTTTTAACCGGCGGTTAACTGAACCGCCGGGCCGGGCCGGTTCAATGAACCGACCTTAGATATAAGCGGGCCGGTCACGGGCCTAAGTTTTGAGACCCGCGGCGGGCCGGACCGGGCCAGTTCATGGCCCGTTGACTGGCCACCTCTACATTTCAAGTTAAACATACATATACATACATGTATTTATTCAACAAATAAAATTTCCTAATGAATAAAGCTCGTCTGTCAAATGTCTAACAGTAGACCGAAAAGTAACCATCGGTGTGGTTTGCTAGTTGAATCCCCGGCCGCGGGTAAGAACCTTTCTCAACAAGGCTTCCCTCCCCGGGAACCGCTTCTCGACACCGCCGCCGCCGACGGAACCACTGCCGCCCTCGCCGGAGACGGAATTGCTGCCGCCCTCGCCGTCTTCGAAGCTCCTCAGCCCATCCCCTCCTCCCCCCATCCCACCACCAACTGTCTTCTCCACTCTCCGCACCCTCGCCCTCTCTCTCCTCTCCCTCCGCTTCCCTCCACCGCCGTCCCCCAATCTCACCGCACCGCTCTCTCTCTCCTCCTCGGACCTCGCCGGAACAACCCCTCCGCCCCCAGCCCTGGGAATCCTCCCGCCCTTGGAGGTGCCCAAGAGCCCGAAATCGACCCTGGCCCACCCGGCCCTGTCCTCTCTGTCCCAACCGAACCTCTCGCATAACTCCAGCAGCTCCGCAACCGCGCCACCGTCGGAGTGGCGGCGGGCGACGTTCCCGTTGAGAACCTGCTCTGCCGCCTCCCACTCGATCCGGTCCCCGTAGACCGGGTCGGCCAGCACCTGGTCCGCCCACCTCGCCCACTCCAACGTGTCGCCGGCCCGCAGGTTCTTCGAGATCCACCGCAGGTAGGACGAAGGCAGGCTCCCCAGCATCCTCCCTCTGTACTTACCGAAGTCGATAACTCTGTCCCTCGCCGGGATGCTTCGGTTCGTAATCGAGGCTCGGGCGGCGGCGGCGGCGGCCGTGGTGGTGAAGGTAGTTTTGACCGGGCCGGGGAATTCGGGGCGGGAAAGTGAAAATGCTGAGAATTGCAGACGCGAAAGGATCGTTATGGGGAGATTGGATTGGGCTAGGGTTCGAATTGGTGGTGGTGAGATTAGGGTTACGGTAAATGTCGCTTCCCCCATTTTAGCCGCCGGTGTGAGTGATGAGACTGACATTCTCATCGTTAGCTTTTCTTTTTGGTAGGGAAAGGCTTGGCTGTAGGCTGTGTAGCCTGTAAACTTATCCTCTAATTGTCAATTTATTTTGTGTGGCCCAATTTTGCTTGAATGGTAGTTAAAACTTAAAAGTTAAAACACTGGTCAATTTATTTTGTGTGGCCCTATCGTTGACTCGTCTTTTTGAACATCGATCATATTTCAATTCAATCGGAGTTTGTTCGCTTATTTTAATTTTCGTCAAAATTGGAGATGTGTTATCTTTCCAGCCAATTTTGCATAGTTCAACTTATAGTTGATTGAACCTACATCTTGTGGTGGTTATGGAAGACCAGGTGCTCATGGTTATTCAGGAAAGAATGGATGAATGAATGGGAGGTGGTAGAGAATGCAAAATTGGAATGGACTGAATATGAGTCCACTCTTGCTCCTCCCAGATTATCAGTTGTTCAGGATGATAAGGCTGCTCAATTTTGTGAGGATCATCATGTTGCTAGGGTAGGTCAGTGGGTTATCATTGTCAGTGCCCAAATATCTTCTTTTGATCTTATTTTGGTGGAATGCAAAGCTCAGAGGGATGGAGAATCAGACATATATTTTAATGGTAGTCTGGGGTGTGCTCATGATCCTGAAATTATGTGGCAGGAAGCAGTTAGATGGGTTCTCCTTCAAGCTGTTCAGTTAGGTTGGAAGAATATCAGATGCTCCCTAGACTTCAAGACTCTGGTGACAAAGCTCAACAAAAAAAAGGCTGTTACGGCTGATTGTAATGTTATTTTGGCAGACATTTATGATCTCTTACATTTCTTTGAGCATTGTAGTTTCTTCTAATTTTGCCGGTTTCTTTTGCTTGGCTCTGTGTAGCCGGATGTAAGGGGTATGAATGATATATTCCTGATGTATATAGCAGTTAGTTAACTGCTCGAATTGTAAATGATTTTGAGGTTTTAATGGTTATTACAATCGTTGGAAAAAAAAAAAAAGAACTTCAATTGGACTCATCTCGTAAAAAATAACGTACCCATAAAATTTCAGTTCCAATCGAATTTTAATTTACTTATCAAATTTTTCAATATTATTTTTGAACAATGTTGGTCCATAGTTGGCTCATTTTGGCTTTAGCTTGTGTTTGGCTTGTTTACTATCCATGAATTTATATTATAATCGAGTCTAGTCTAATAAGTTTTAAACTTGGCTTAAACTCAGTTCATTTATCAAATATGATGTGCTCGAACTTTATAAACGATTTTTTTTTTCCAACAATTGTAATAACCATTAAAACCTCAAAATCACTTACAATTCGAGCAGTTAACTAATTGCTAAATACAACATGGATATATCATTCATACCCCTTACATCAGGCTACGCAGAGCCAAGCAAAAGAAACCAGCAAAATTAGAAGAAACTACAATGCTCAAAGAAATGTAAGAGATCATAAATGTCTGCCAAAATAACATTACAATCAGACGTAACAGCCTTTTTTTTGTTGAGCTTTGTCACCAGAGTCTTGAAGTTTAGGGAGCATTTGATATTCTTCCAACCTAACTGAACAGCTTGAAGGAGAACCCATCTAACTGCTTCCTGCCACATAATTTCAGGATCATGAGCACACCCCAGACTACCATTAAGATATATATCTGATTCTCCATCTCTCTGAGCTTTGCATTCCACCAAAATAAGATCAAAAGAAGATATTTGGGCACTGACAATGATAACCCACTGACCTACCCTAGCAAAATGATGATCCTCACAAAATTGAGCAGCCTCTGAACAACTGATAATCTGGGAGGAGCAAGAGTGGACTCATATTCAGTCCATTCCAATTTTGCATTCTCCACCACCTCCCATTCATTCATCCATTCTTTCCTGAATAACCATGAGCACCTGGTCTTCCATAGCCACCACAGGATGTAGGTTGATAACCTAATCCTGTCTTTTAGATTTTTAGACCAAGGTATACAGCTCATTTCACTCCACCATTTCCTAAAGGACCCTTCTGAGTGTTCAAGAATCTTCCACTGCACCCCACTAAGGTTCCACACCAGTTTAGCTCTCTTGCAATTAAAAAGAATGTGATCTAAATCTTCAGAGACCTCACCACACATACCACATATCCAATCCACCTCCATCCTCCTGTTAATTAGTTGATCACAGGAGCTTAAGAATCTGTTCCAGCACTTCCATAAGAAATGATTGAGTTTAGGCTTGACTGCTAACTTCCAAATTGCAGTCCAGATTCTGGTCCCAGCTCTACCCCTATCACTGGATTCAGCTTCCTCATGACTTCTCCTAAAATGATCAATGATAGTTTCATAGGCAGATTTAACAGAAAACCTACCTTGATTGCCATAATGCCAGATCATTCTATCCTTCCTTCCCATAACAGAGATTGGAGTTGAGAGGATAGCTCTTGCTTCAGGAGGCTCAAAAGTTTGGAGAATGAGCTCTCTATCCCAACCAAATCTTTCTTTCAAAAATAAATCCTTCACCCAACACAAAGAGTTCCTGTCAGCAGGGAATTGACATTTTGGTTTGAAATTCTTCACATCAGCCAGCCATGGTGATTCCCATATCTTAATACTCATCCCATCACCCACCTGAAATCTTGCCCATATTGCAAACAAGTCTCTCACCCCCATCCAACTTTTCCACAACCAGGAATCACCATTTCTAGGTTTAACATCCAATAAACTCTTCCCAAGAAAATACTTGCCTTTTAATACCCTACTTATCAACAAATTAGGTTGAGTATTCAACCTCCAAAGTTGTTTGATCAGTAGGGCATCATTGAAGGCTCTCAGTTTCTTAAAGCCAAGACCACAATTTCCCTTGGGTTGAGACAATTGCTCCCAATTAGACCAGTGGATTTTACTTCCCCCCACCTCATTCCTACCCCACCAGAATTTACGAATTTACGAGCGACTTATTTAAAGTTTGGCCGCACGAAACAATTTTTCATTGCTCAAATAAAATATCCACCTCAATCGAAGACTCGTAGTACCCAATTAATCTTCAACTGCTTGAACTTTTATAAAACGGATTTACGACCGATTTGTTTCGATTGTGTCCATACGATTAACTTCCTACGGCTCAATTAAGCTTCAACTACCTATCAATCTCAGCTCTTCTTTCCGATCTTATTGTCCATCTCACCTCGCTCTCTGCTTGAAGGCCCCGACAAAAAAACTGAAAATCGATCCAAACATCTGGAGAGTTCCTCCTCGATCTGATCTTGTCCGTTGGGAATCCACTTTCAATAGCTTGTCAATCTTTTTCTTGGTTGATTTTATCCGTTTAATCTCGAAATATGCCGGCGGTATACGGAGGTCCGATCACGACGTTCGAGGATGCCGAGAAGGAGAGCGAGTACGGTTACGTTCGCAAGGTCTGGTTTCCGTTTCATGCTCGGTTTTACCTGATAAATATCAGTGTGTCTGCCATTGCCTGCTGCGAGTTTACATCGGATGATTGATTAATCTGTTTCTCGATTTGTTCGTCTCTCGATATCGAGTTTGTGTTTCCTAGTGGTTCTGAATTGCTGGCATTTACGGAGCAAATGCACCGTTTCAGTGTGCAGATGGATCCTGATTTGTGATGTATTTTATTGTTCAAGAGTCTTGAACTTTACCTATTTTATCCTTGGATTCCTGGAACCTGGATCTGATATATTTTGTTTAATTTGAAGATTTCACCACCCTTTTATGTGCTCGTTTGATCAATGCATTTGTAGATTGCTATACCGGAATCGTGTTTTGAGGAAATTTCAAAAGTTCGAATCTGCCTTATTTGGCATTGAAAGTTTAGCTGTTATATTTTCTGTGGAACAATGCTCTTCTGTTTGATTACGCTTGTTTTTGTGCTGAACAGGTATCTGGACCAGTGGTTGTTGCCGATGGAATGGCAGGAGCTGCTATGTATGAATTAGTTCGTGTTGGGCACGACAATCTGATTGGAGAAATCATTCGATTAGAAGGAGATTCTGCCACTATTCAGGGTTAGTGTTTTTGGATAAGTGAGCTATCTCTGCTATCTTCCAAGCAGCAAGAGCTGTCTGGTTCTGGATTCTAATCTTAAACTATAGTAACCAGTTAGTATATCATAGTTTGAGGTCTCTTTTCGAGAGAAGGATTTTCTGTTAGTTTCTATGAGGTGCTATGTCTTTATGTTGGCTAGTCCATTTTTTTTAGTAAGTATCACTGAATTTGGGATTTATTGGAGAGTGATTTCAAGTTTCCATTTGCTATGTTTGTGGTATTCAAGCATCGTTTACAAGTCATTTTCGTGATTTTATTGCAGTGTATGAGGAAACTGCTGGGTTGATGGTGAATGACCCTGTTCTCCGAACCCACAAGGTTAATACAAATATTTTAACTTCATTTTGTGAGTATGTTTGCATTGTTATTCACTGGGAAGAGCTGTTACTCACACGCTAGGACTGATTTATGCAGCCTTTGTCCGTTGAACTTGGTCCTGGAATTCTGGGAAATATATTTGATGGAATTCAGGTCCGTAAATTTTTCTTCAATAATTTTTTTGTAACTCAGTAGGTCTTTCAGAGATATTTATTTTGTAGCTTGCATTTGCATGTTTCCTTATGATGATCTATTCTTTTCCTTTTTGGTTAAATACTCAATACAGAGGCCGCTTAAGACAATTGCAATTAAATCTGGTGACGTGTACATTCCTCGTGGTGTGTCTGTCCCTGCACTCGACAAAGATACTCTTTGGGAATTTCAGCCAAAGAAAATAGGTAAACAAGATCTGTTTACATTTATTTAATTTGATATTATCTTCCGTGTTCTGAATTAAAGTATATATCTACCACCAGTTCCGATCATCCTTATTGACTATGATTTTTGGTGGCAGGAGAAGGAGATCTTTTAACAGGTGGTGACTTGTATGCGGTGAGTTTGACAGTATTAGGCAGCCTGTAACAATTTGGGTCTCTTGTTTAAATTCCAGAGCTTAGAAACTATGGCCTTAATTTTTGAGCATCATTTCTCGATGCAGACTGTTTTTGAGAACACTTTAGTGCAACATCATGTCGCTCTTCCACCTGAAGCTATGGGTAAAATAACCTACATCGCACCACCGGGCCAATACTCGTTGAAGGTTTGTTCTATGCTTAGTTGACCAGTTTTTGTTAATCCACAGTTTTAGCTTTTACGATAAGGAAGTTTTGTTGCATACATTGAACTTGCCTGACCTTTTGCAGGATACTGTCCTTGAGCTTGAGTTTCAAGGTGTCAAAAAACAGTTTACCATGCTTCAGGTTAAGCCCCTTTTCTTTTGTTTGAATTGCAGATATTATTAAATGTGGTTAAATTGCTTTAGTTTTTTCATGGTTTGAATAACAAAATGAATCTGACTCTTACTTATTTGCAGACCTGGCCCGTACGTACACCTAGGCCTGTAGCTTCCAAGCTTGCTGCTGACACTCCTCTCTTGACTGGACAGGTGACTACAAATGCTGTTTTCTCGGACTTATATGTTTCAGGTCCCCAGTCTTCTGATCTAATTACTTTATTCTGTTCAGCGTGTACTTGATGCTTTATTTCCGTCTGTGCTTGGTGGTACTTGTGCCATTCCTGGCGCATTTGGTTGTGGGAAAACTGTTATCAGTCAGGCACTCTCCAAGGTGAACTTCACTGATTTTCTTCATATCAAATTGTTCATTTTATACAGAATGTTGTCTATCAGTAATTTATATCTGTTGCGTATTTAAATTTGCTTTGGAAATGCAGTATTCTAACTCGGACACTGTGGTTTATGTTGGCTGTGGAGAAAGAGGAAATGAAATGGCTGAGGTACGTAGTTATCCTTTGGCTTGTTCAATCAGATTGAGGTGTATTTACGGTGTCTTATGTTAGATTTATACTGTAGGTGCTTATGGATTTCCCTCAATTGACTATGACCCTGCCTGATGGTCGTGAGGAATCTGTCATGAAACGTACCACGCTCGTAGCTAATACCTCCAACATGCCTGTGGCTGCTCGTGAGGCTTCAATTTACACTGGTAAGGAGGTTTACATTGACTTTTATTTTGGGACATTTTTGCTCTCTAATGGCATGTAGGAGTCATTGATAAATCCCTCTTCTCTTTGTGAGTGAACATATTTAGTTCTTCAGTAATACGTTGTAGAAGAAAATATTTAGTTCATCACCATTATATCTTGACCCTGTGGTTTGCATAAGTTAACTCGTATCTCTAAAGTAAAAGCTAGACATCATCTGAACGTGTTGAGGAATTACCATAGCTGAATACTTTAGCGATATGTGATGCAATGTCCATATGATGGCACTCATATCTCTAAAGTAAAAGCGAGTGAATGATTTATGCTTGAGCTAATAATTCATCATCTCGACGTGTTCAGGAATTACCATAGCTGAATACTTCAGAGATATGGGATACAATGTCAGTATGATGGCAGATTCAACCTCTCGTTGGGCAGAGGCATTGCGTGAAATTTCTGGTCGACTGGTATGTATCAAGATCGCTTTACCATAAACTGGCTTCTATTTACCTTCTATTTGGTATCTTACTTTGGAGAGTTAATATTTTATCATATCCAGGAATGATAAACTGCAAGTTTCTCTTATTAGTGGCTAATTGCTCAAAGCTCAATTGTTGCTCAATTGATCTGATGCTATTTGTGGAAGGCACCATGTCATTTTTTTATTATTTATTTACGAACATTATATGTTCTGTACAGGCTGAGATGCCTGCAGACAGTGGATATCCTGCTTATTTGGCGGCGCGTTTAGCATCGTTCTATGAGCGTGCTGGGAAAGTTAAATGTCTTGGTGGGCCTGAAAGAAACGGAAGTGTCACTATTGTTGGTGCAGTTTCTCCTCCAGGAGGAGATTTTTCAGATCCTGTTACATCTGCTACCCTCAGTATAGTTCAGGTATATTCAGAGAGCAAACATCTTGTGGATTCGTACTCTATGCACTATGTTTTACTCTCTACTTGAAAAATCATTTTTCAGGTTTTTTGGGGTCTGGACAAAAAACTGGCTCAGAGGAAGCATTTCCCATCCGTGAACTGGCTCATTTCTTACTCAAACTATTCAGGAGTATGTTTTAGTTCTTCAGTATTTAAATCTAGCCACTTCTTTCAGTTTGATGTGTGGATTTATTCCTCCTGGTCACTTGCTGATGCTTTAGCTGCTTTTCTTTTTCCCAGGCATTGGAATCCTTCTATGAGAAGTTCGATCCAGATTTTATTGACATCAGGACAAAAGCTCGTGAAGTTCTGCAGAGAGAAGATGATCTGAATGAAATTGTGCAGGTATTTGCTTTGTTTGCATGTAACTTCCGTTTCTGTAAATCTAATGGCGTAAAGAGAAACACCAATAAGGGACCATGGATATTTTCTATCGGCCGATGGCCATGGTGATGCTAGTGCATCTAATCATGAAATTGTGGTTTATATCTCATCAATTTGTGTTTTTCTCACTTATGAAAGATCGAGATAGTCAACTACGCCTTTCTTTCCCGTGCTGCCATTATTGATAGATTATACTCTGAATCCAAAATATGTGGGTGTTGTTCTACATTCCGGACTAAACTCGTTTGCCTTTATCCAGCTTGTAGGGAAAGATGCTCTAGCTGAATCAGATAAGATTACCCTGGAAACTGCCAAACTCTTGAGGGAGGATTATCTTGCCCAGAATGCATTTACTCCGTAAGTGCTTGCCAAATGCCAATTATCTTGAAGTTTCATATTCATCAGGTGGTTGAATTTAAGAACGTATGCTATTTGGCAGGTATGATAAATTTTGCCCGTTCTACAAGTCAATTTGGATGATGCGCAACATCATTCATTTCTACAATCTGGCTAATCAGGTAAAGCAATCAGCACATCTCTCTTTTCTCCTTTTCTTCTTATTTTTTTTTTCTTAAACAGGATTTTTGGCACATATCATTTTTACGTATTAAAAGTTTAAAACTCTGTCTTTAGAGTTGATGTCTAAAATCATGTGCCCGACTTAAAATCTTTGTTTTTAATGTGATTTCTTGCTCAGGCTGTGGAGCGGGGTGCTGGTATGGATGGACAGAAGATAACATACACCCTTATCAAGCATCGTCTCGGAGATTTGTTTTACCGTTTGGTGTAAGTGAAATTTCATTAACAAAAGGACCTGAATGTTATCCGCTAATTTCCAAGTAAACTTGTTTTTGTGAAAGATCTCATAAATTCCGATACTCTCTTTGAATGATGCAGCTCTCAGAAATTCGAGGATCCGGCTGAAGGAGAGGATGTTCTGGTTTCCAAATTTAAGAAGCTTTATGACGATTTGACAGCTGGCTTCCGCACTCTTGAGGATGAAACTCGATGAGGAATCTTTGTATGATTATTATTATGATTATACCATTCGCCTATTTGATCCTCCATCTCGATGAAGAATGTAGCAAGGCATGGTAGTTTGTGAGGCTTTGATAGAGATTCACGCTGTGGTTATTGTTGAAATATTTGTTTATTTGTGTAGCCATATTTCTTATGTAATTTGTTAATTGCCCCAATGATTTTTGGTGCGTAAGTAATAAGGGTGGCATTAGTTAGGTAATATTTTTTTACGACACATTCTTGTCGCAATAATAAATTGTACGAGCACAAATTGAGAAGCGTTGTTTTTTTACCAAAAACCATGTATTTGTATTGATTTATCCTAGCTATTGTGCTTTTCCACAAGTTTTTAAGTCCTTCAGACTATAAATTCGGCCAGAGTTCAACTAGTTTAAGCTATACATGTGTGTTTCGATTCTTCTTGGGGCGTTTATGTCTTGGATGTGCTTATTTTTGTACTTGATGATCGATGAATTTAGGTTGTATTGTAAACTGTGGTGTGCATTATCAAGAACGCAGAAAAGCGAATTTGTTGCACTCAAGTGCTAGACTTGAAATTGATTGTCATTTATCAATAGTAAATTCGTAGCGGTCAGCACTTAAACTAAGATACCACATTTATTTATTACTCATTCATAAATTGCTGATGCCGGTATGATTTTAATTCCATCAAAATATGCATTTTCAGACGTGCGTGGTAACTTGGATGATCAGATTCTAGTGTGCAGTTAAAACTGTATGTATTGATGATCAAATTCTAGTGTGCAGTTAAAACTGTATCGAAACTGCAAGATTCTCGGACACCAAAAAGCGCTCAAAACCAGTCGCTTTGAGGGCTCCCCAATCTTAATCTGGTGAAACTTATAGAGGAAGTCAATCAATGGAGAAAAGAAAAAATCTTGACTGAGAACCATACCAATCCCTACAAGTAGCCGAGCCGACTGAACCGAGTCGAGCATTGGCCTTATCGAGCAAGATTGAATTTTTATTTTTTACCTGCTCGAGATCGACTAGACAAAAGAAGACAATTGTTCGAGCTCGCCTTGAGTTCAACTTGAATTTCATATAAAAATATTGTAATAATTTATATATAAGGGGTATATTAGTAATTTACTATATATATCTCGAGCTGCTCGACCTTCCAAAACCTATGCTCGAGTTCGACTCGATAACACGCTCGAGCTCGAGCGCTCGACAGCGGTTTGCAGCCCTACCTACAAGCACTTCACAACATAAATGAACATTCACAGTTCCATCAAACTCGATTGCCATAACAAAGTCTAAGAAGTAAGAACATGATCATAACATAAATCCCAGATCCACAGGTCCACAGTGTAAGAAAAGACAACAGGGCAAGGAAACAATTACTAGAGAGAGGGACCATGAGCTTCTTTACTTAGCCAGGGCCAACTTTAGGAATGTCATAGTGCTCGCTCATATTAGCAAGATACTGATTGAAATCCTGAATACGGTCACGGTGTGATTTGTTTGATGTCTTTGCCAGTTTTTGAGAGTTGATTTTCTCCCTTTGTTCCATGTAGCGTCTCTCAGCAGGAGTGAGATTGTTATCCCAATTAGCGAAATTCTCATCTCCAGTGGGTTTGTCGTCAACTTCCAAAGCCTCTTCTTTGTTAAACTCGGTTAACTGCTCCGCATTCTCACCTTCATACATCAAGTGAAGTTATAAATAAACATGGGATAATATCTTTACAAAAAACCGAGGAAGTTGGATTCGCATTATTATAGAATAAAAGCACGCGTAAAGTGGGATTTCACAATATCTTCAAACAGCAGTTTCAGAATTGTTTTGAGATATCCTCAAACTGTCCAAACAGCAGTTGCTGACAGAAAACAAGTTTAAAATGTGCACGTAGAAGAATATTCAGATGCAGGCCAGCAAAATGTTTTAGCAGAGGTCAGCTGAAACATAATTTGACAAATATATTAGAATTCTCAAAATTTGCATATGATATGCATAAGTGCCCATCGATATGTATTCTGTTCATAATATATCAAGTGAAAAACAACATTTAAAAGAAAGAAAGTTAGGTATTGGAGGTTGCAGGTCTGAGATAATAAGGATGTGATTGGATATGGATTATAAAAAAAAAAAAA